ATAAAATACACTGCCTAATGTTACCCCACATGAATGCACTGCCTAATGTTACCCCACATGAATACACTGCCTTATGTTACCCCACATGAATGCACTGCCTAATGTTACCCCACATGAATACACTGCCTTATGTTACCCCACACGAATACACTGCCTAATGTTATCCCACATGAATACACTACCTAATATTACCCCACATGAATACACTGCCTAATGTTACCCACATGAATACACTGCCTAATGTTACCCCACATGAATACACTGCCTAATGTTACCCAACATGAATACACTGCCTAATGTTACCCCACATGAATACACTGCCTAATGTTACCCCACACGAATACACTGCCTAATGTTATCCCACATGAATACACTACCTAATATTACCCCACATGAATACACTGCCTAATGTTACCCACATGAATACACTGCCTAATGTTACCCCGCATGAATACACTGCCTAATGTTACCCAACATGAATACACTGCCTAATGTTACCCCACATGAATACACTGCCTAATGTTACCCCACATGAATACACTGCCTAATGTTACCCCACATGAATGCACTGCCCATTGTTACCCCACATTGATTCACTTTGCCTTATGCTACCTAGTATTGATACATTTATCTAATGTTTTATTTATTAATTTTTTTTTCAGATGGAAGCTAAGACTATATTGGCTAGGCTAGTACAAGTTTTTAAATTCAAGTTGGTCAAGGGTCAATCACAAGATGTATTAGAACAAACAACATTAAAGCCAAAGGGAAAATGTCAGGTGTATATTATGCAAATTTAACTTGAATGTTGGGTGTATATTTTGCTCATCTAACTTGAATGTCAGGTGTATATTACGTCTATCTACTGTAAAATACTTTATTTTAGCCAGAATTAATTTTTGCTGAAAAGACTTTTTGGGTGTTTTGTATAGAATTTATTTTCACTGAAAATTGACAAGTTGAATGTAAAATATAAAAAAAAAGGTATATTAGCTGGATTTTATTTTCACTGAATCATCCCTTCAGCGAAAATAAAGTATTTTACAGTAACTTGAATGTTGGGTGTATATTATGCTTATCTAACTTGAATTTCGGGTGTATATTATGTCAATCTAATTTGAATGTCAGGTGTATATTATGCCAAATCTAACTTGAATGAAGTGCAATCTGAAATTTGTTTTGCATTGTATTTAGTGGATAACTAAAATACTTTTGTTTAGTGAGGGGTCAAAGGTGATTTCAATTACTGTGTGCAAAAAATGTTTTCACATGGACTAGAATGGAAAATATACCTTAGCATGTGTGAATGAATGTTGAAACATTATAATATGAAATAGATTAACATGGGTCTATATTAAATGTTATTAAAGGTTGAATGAAATTGTTTCACAACAAAATATGTTTTTGTTGTCCAAAAGACATTCAGACAATGTATATGCTTCTACAATAAAATCTATTTTTGTGTGGTGCAAAAATTTAAATGAAATTTTAAATCATTGTGTGCAAGTCTGCTTCTCAAATCTCCCCAATATATAGTGTTTGTGATTAATTACATAGTACCTTATCTAAATAAACATATTAAATACATGCAACAGATTTGTCATTTCTGCATAATCTGTTCATTATTAGTCACAGTTTGGATGATGTCCTAAAATTGGGTCCTCTGTGTATGTGTCCATGTGTGTGTTTGCACCTGTATTGCAGACATATCTGTATCATTCATGTGTGTGTTTGCACCTGTATTGCAGACATATCTGTATCATTCATGTGTGTGTTTGCACCTGTATTGCAGACATATCTGTATCATTCATGTGTGTGTTTGCACCTGTATTGCAGACATATCTGTATCATTCATGTGTGTGTTTGCACCTGTATTGCAGACATATCTGTATCATTCATGTGTGTGTTTGCACCTGTATTGCAGACATATCTGTATCATTCATGTTAAAAACATGTTCAGATTCAAGATGGCCAAATCAACAATTGATACCTATGATTCCAGAACTGGATATTGGTAGTGTATGGATAGATTTCATTCAAACTTGGCACACACTTTGAACATTATGGTACCTTGATCAAAATGGTCAACTAGTAGGCATTTTGTTTGAATTGAATTTTGTTCTAGACGTATCTCTGACATATGTTTTAACTTCACACATACATGTCGTACGTATGCACATATACACAATTCATGATCCAAAACAAAATGGTTGAGTGCTGGCCATATTAGTGCTAAAAGTTCATCAAAATCATGCATTTCTGAAATTCTGGAACTCAATTTCGGTCATGCATTTTGCTCAAACTTACACGCCTTATAGGACATTGATTGATGCATGTTATTTTGTTTATGATTGACTAGTGTACATTTTATATTCATGCCTATACCAATTACATACACACATTTGATACCCACACATACTACATCAGGAATTCAAAATAGCTGACGAACACAAATGTGTAGTTTCTATTACATGGCTGGATCTATTATGTAACTTCCACATACGCACATTACATGTTTTGTTGTGCTATGATGACGGTTGGGACTGTGTCATGTGTCATATCTATGAGAAAAAGTGATGGGAAAATAGATGAAGATTAGTTAGACATAGAAGATCTCAACATAATTCAACATGTGGTTTATCTTATTTGCTAATAATTGTCATCCAACTTGTAGCATATCTAGGAATATCTTATCTGATTTCATTGACATTTGCTACAGGGATGAATTTGTTTGAATATAATTTTCCAATTTGCATAAATATAACAAGTTGTTACCATACTATCATACTCAGTGTTAACAAATATGCTAACACACTATCACATAGAAATAAACACAAGTATGTATCTGCGTTGAGTACATTTATTTACATTTTGGTTATAAATATAGTATGTAATCTTTCACATTTACACTTTGAGCTAGCAAGTGAGTTAACAAGCAATTACATATGTTTACTATAGCTGTTTGTTATACAATTATTAAACAGTCTTATGATCAAAGTAGTGTACATCAGCTGGGGGCTGGAGGCGTCTGAGATAAGCATAATACATAATTTAACAAGCAGCTGAGATAGCTCTGCTGTAAGCAATGCACATTTCAATTAAAAAACAGAAGATATCATTAGAAAATGAACAATATGAATAGCATCAAAGCAATCAAACTTGCTGTTTTTAACAAGAAGTTGAAAATATCCTAATTACCAAAATGCCTAAAATATGCATCATAATTAGAGAATTGAAGATATCATCGTGAAATAAACAAATCTGAGAGAGGTCTACCTGTAATACATATATATATATATATGTAATATCAAAGTAATCAAACTTGCAGTTTTTAACAAGAATTTGGAAATATAACTTTTTACCAAAAATGACAAAAATATTAATTAAAATTAGAGAATTAAAGATATCACGAAATGAACAAATCTGAGAGAGGTCTACATGTAGTACCTAATCATACTTGCGGTTTTTAACAAGAAGTCAAAAATATCACTTTTTACCAAAAATGACAAAAATATTCATCAAATTTAGAGAATCAAGATATCATCACGAAATGTACAATTCTGACTACCCCAAGAATCTATGTTGCAAATATGAAAGCATTAATTTGGTTTAACGGTTTTGAAAAACACAAAAATGTAAAAAGTCGACGACAGACTACACACCAGACAACGATGGACAATCAGTAATATTGAAGAACTCCACATCTAATAAAATAGAGGATTTTAAAAATACAACTTAACTAATTTGCAATTTATTAGTGTTCTCTTCCCTGTTATGGACTACAGATCTGAAATAAAGTATATTACTATCAATAATAATTGTTCACATTATATATTAGTGGTGCATAGTAATCATAATATGAGTTGATAGTTAGTCATTTAGGAAAAAACAACATACCGGTACATTATTGCTTGTTTTCAGATAATATATATATTAAAAGACGTCATGTGATAAGTCCTGTTTAGGGGCCTGAGGATATCTTAATCCAGCATACTTACACACAATGTCATGTTCGATGTTTATTATACTGTCATGTTTTCTAGCGAGTACCTGTTGAACAAAACGTTATTAAAAGTAAGTTTGCATAATTAACCATCATTCATTGCCTATATTCAATGCACACACAGTTCTTAATTAAGGTACTTACATGTATATTTCACTTGTAAGTACTTGAATGTACCATAACATGGGTCTCCAAATATAGTATTACTAGCCATGATGGCACATGATTTCTGACCATCACATTGATCATAGACAACATCAAGGCTAGATTTGGCTCTGCATTTAGTTGTATTTATTGCAGTATGGGGGCATATTTCTCCCCCAGCAGTGCGCCCATAATTGGCCCATACGATATTCAGTCTTCCATGGCGACATTTTATTTCCAGAAGTTGATGCTCACATACCAGTGTATCCTGGATGATAACGTATACCTGGTTTGCCCATGGACCACCTTTCCCATCATCTAGACAGGCATCTGATGCACCATATTTATCGTATGATTCTAGGGCATAAGCACTTGATGCGCACCATGCACCATTTTGAACAGCGAAAATATTGTACCCTCTAACGACAGCGGCATTGGCACATTTGTTGATGACATCACTTCTTCTACTGTAATGTCCATCAAGTCTGTAATCGTGCAATTCAAGAGTAGGGATAGCACGATCTGAAGTATCTCGGTAACAACCTAATGATTCTATAGAAAAAAACCAAACATTTTATTATTTATAATTTGTTGGCATTAAACAACATACACGTTCATTTCATGTCTTATAAATAATGTTATTTAGTTGCAATGAATATGATTGAATGTCAAATTACTCCGTCGTGACATAATAGTGGACAATGTTATGTCATTGACCAGTGTAAATTTGAGTTTATGTAAGGGTCATATTGATAATTATATGATATTTTAATTGTCTTACGATATTCCAGCAGTGGGTTCTCTTCGAACAAGTGGTTTTTGGCGCCTAATGGTCAAACAGATTTACATGTGGACTAGTCAGACAAACGCTTTATTTTACATGGGTTGTATTTGTCGTTAGGGACCTATGAAGCATGACAACCATCGCCCTTTATTAACCATGAAAGACGTAAAACAGTCAATGTAAACATGAAACTACTTACAGTAATATTTTACTTGTAAGTATTTAAATGTTCCCCAACATGGATTTCCAAACACACTGTTGCTGGCAATTATACTACATGTCTGCATATTGTTGCACACACCATTGAGCTCATAAATGCGCGTCTCAGCACTACATTGGACTGATTGGAGATCACCAGTAAGGAGATCAGTACAAGTCTCGCGATTAGTTCTTCCATAATTTGCGAATACTACGTGAATAGTGCCATGTGAACAGTCAATATCCATTCTTTGATTTTCACACACAATTTTGGATTTTACAATCGCATAGATTTCATTGGCAAATGGGCCACCTTCACCTTCGTTTTTACATGCAGATGACGGACCATATTTGTCGTAAGTAATACCAGCATTTTCACTAGAAGCGCACCAACCATTATTTTGCACGCCGAAAACATCAAAACCTCGTCTGGAGGCTACGTTTGCGCATTTGTTCAAAGCATCTTCTCTGGTCAAATAATAACCATCGAGTCTAGGGTCCGAGCCTTCAAGAGACGGTATTGCTCTGTTATGCGTGTCTCTAAAACATCCCAGTGATTCTGTAATGCAAACAAGTTAAAGGCCCAATGTACTGTTAAATATTTGCAGGTCACTATATATTAATGTGGGGTAACTTGATTCACTCCACTGGACTGGATGTATATTTCAAAT